CAGTGTAGTCACATTCAAGTTCAATTTTAGATACTTATCAGTAATGAAATTGAAGTTCGAGATATGATAACGAAGTCATTGATCTCTCTGAAATAGTTAGTTCAAAGACCATCTAGCTCAAGAGTTTTACTAATAGAACAATGTCCTGGGAAGCCTATCCATTACCTGTTCTTCCTCTTCTATGGCCCCACTCAGTTCCGCCCCTCGCAACATCAATTTTAATTCCTCCTCAGTTACAAATGGCTCACTAACACATTAAGACACGAAAGTAGCACTAAGATGAAGCATTTGCAATGTCTATAAGAAAGAATAAACAACTAGTTCCCATAAACTTTTATGAAACTACGGCCTTAGAGTGGAACGGTGAGCAGAAGCCTCCAAGTAATTGAAACATCTATATTACAAATCTTACCTTCTCCCTTTCATACCAAGCATTTTAAGCATCCCCATTGAAAGGTAGGTGACAATTTTTCCAACTGGGTAAAGTATCACAGCAAGCCATGCCACTGGCCTGACCTACAGGCAATAAGATCAATGCATTTAATAGAAGAAACAAAATAAGCATTGAAACAAGAAAACCTCTAATAGAGGGTTCGGTGATGCAATAAGCATAAGTAACTTACCACAACTCTAGCAACCTCTGTAGCATTATGCACAGCAATACTTTTTGGAGTGAGTTCAGTGAGAAGCAAAATGGCAACCTAGCAACAAGGAGAAGGTAAAATTAGAGTCTATTTCCAATGAACTTAAGCAATATAGATCGAAACAGAAATATAGAAGACACATGTAAAGATCTCAACACGATGCCCTTGTCATCGTTATCAATGATAACTCAAACTTAAATAAAAGGAGAAATGACTTTTTTGTCCCTAAGTTTTGAGTATCGTTTCTATTTGGTCCCTAAGTATTAAAATGATACATGTCTGCCCCTAAGTTCTGTGTTTAGTTTCCATTTGGTCCCTAAGTTTCACAATGTTTTATTTTTACCCTTGAGTTTTGATTTTAGTTTTCATTTGGTCCCTAGATTTATATTTTTATCCTTGAAGAACTAATGCTCGCTTTTGGTCCTTGGTATTAACTTTCAATTAATTAATCTAAAATCTTGCTGTCGTTTTTTAATTAAATTTAATAGTGGTGTTTAAAAACAATTAATACATACATACATACATACATATAGGTAAGGAAATGTATTGTTCAAGATTGAGCATTCATACATACAGTCATCACTCCAGTTGCTGCGCTAACACCAGCTTCCCCAAATATTGCAGTTGCAGCTTCAGTGACTAATGCAGTTGCCCCAATATTTACCACACTGTGTACATCAGCAGAATCTAAGATGAGCAAAAACAAGCTGATAAAACGTGTTGAATTGGTTGTGACAAAGATGAAAAGAGAATTACGTTGTGCCGATAAGTATGGTTGTGAGAAATCTTGTAACATCAGTGCGAAGCATTTTGAAGACACCATCTTCAGGCTCCTTTTCAGCCAATTCTCGTACCTGCATGAACGCACTCATCAGAGGTTGGCTTAGAACAAGACGTTAGCATGTACCATCAAGATGTTATAAACTCAAGCTAATCTGTAAATTTGGTTGGGTGTAATGGCCCAAACCCACCGCTAGTAGATATTGTCCGCTTTGGCCCATTACATATCGCCGTTAGCCTCACAGTTTTAAAACGTGTCTGGTAGGGAGAGGTTTTCACACTCTTATAAGGAATGTTTCATTCCTCTCTCCAACCTATGTGGGATCTTCACAATCCACCCCCCTTGGGAGCCCAACGTCCTTGCTCACTGCCCGTTGACTGACTTTTATACCATTTGTAATGGCCCAAGCCCACCGCTAACAAATATTGTCAGTTTTGGCCCATTACGTATCATCATTAATCTCACAGCTTTAAAACGTGTCTGCTAGGGAGAGGTTTCCACACCCTTATAAGGAATGTTTCGTTCCCTTCTCCAACTGACGTGGGATCTTCACAATCCACCCCCTTGGGGACCCAGCATCCTCGCTTGCACACCGCCCGTTGACTGACTCTAATACCATGTGTAATGCCCCAAGCTCACCGCTAACAGATATTGTCCGCTTTGGCCCATTACGTATCGTCGTCAGCCTCACAGTTTTGAAACGAAACATGTCTACTAGGGAGAGGTTTCCACACCCTTCTAAGAAATGTTTCATTCCCCTCTCCAACCAATGTGGGATCTTCACATCAAGAGAGCTTACTAAGTCGTTTCGTGACATTAATATTAAACCCATTTTGAACTCTAAATTGAAAAACACACTTAAAGGGGCACCACAAGCATCTATATGTTTACATAATTTAAGGATGTGTAAGGCTGATGAGCAACATGCAAGCTACATGCAACAGGCGAATGTAATTGATGAACAAAACAAGCAATTGCATTTGTATATCTCAAGTCTCAAAGCACATGTGTTTCATAAAATGAACTGCATTGATTAGATTACCTTCCAAGGCCAAAGTGTGGTTATGGAAGTCTCAGCCATAGAGAAAAACGCTGAAAGTCCCAAAAGCAAACCCAAAATCAAACCCTGCTCCTTGAAAATCTTAAGAACCAGCAACGCCTTCGGCCACGCATCACTGAACGTCGATATCCCCTGCCCAACCATATCCTTGCCGAAACTAACCACACCCTCCATTGCCAAAACATTTTTACAGCCAACAACGAACACACCATAGACAATTGCAGTGAAAACAATCAAACGCTTAGCTATTTCTCTAACATAATCTTGATTCGGCTGAAAAACAATCGGGCTGTTCCAGCTCTCATTATCCCCACATCCCAACCGAGCTCCATTTGCATAAATCGTACGCAGAATGCTTCCAGAACTACGAAATTGAACACAATTCGACAAACAAAAACTAGGGTACCGATTGTTACCCCTGAAAATCCCTACCGGTACAGCCTTATATCGACGGCATTGCAGATGAGAAATCGATTGCCCGCCGATAGAGAAGGCGGGCGAACCCAGAGTCGAAAACTTTAGCGCCATGAACAATCTTTCAAGGATCCAAACCCAAAATTCAATGCAGAATCCAAATGGGGTCGAAACAGAGGCGACGCAGGTCCTTATAGATGCCGTCTGGAAGACATTGATTGATTCAAATGCAACGTAAAAGGGATTGTTCTTCCTTCTTCTTCTTGAATTGAGCCTACGCTGAATCCATGGCTGAATTTGGCGCTGGTAGCCTTAGAGGCACATAAAGGAGGTTGCCTTCTTCACGAACATGTTTGATGCCTTGGAAGAAGAGGGAAGCAGTGATCGGATTACGGTTGGGCGCTTCTGATTTGGGCTTTTTGTACTTATAGTTTTGGAAAAGGTTGCACCTTTTTTTTTTTTTCAATTTATTTTACCATATATTAAAAGTATTTTTCTTCTAGTAAATTACCTTTTTAGCCCTAGAAGTTCGAGCAATCGGTCGATTCTATTTGGGCAAGCATATATTAAAAGTATTTAGGTAAGTATTCGTTCCATTCTCCAACCGATGCAAGATCTCACAATCCACCCCCTTGGAGGTAACCGTCTTCGTTGGCACACCGCCCAATGTCTAGTTCTGATACCATTCGGAACCGTTCGACCCCATTGATAGCATATATTGTCCGCTTTGCCCCGTTACATATCGTCGTCAGCCTCCCGATTGTAAAACGCGTCTACTGAGGAGAGGTTTCCACACCCTTATAAGGAACCCTCTCGAACTGAAAAAAAAATGTACACAACTTAAAAACGAGTATAAATTATATATGGATGTGTCCTCCAAACGTGAAGTGACAATAACGTACTGTCACTTCAGTTAAGTGTTAAATACTCGACATTTTGTAACTTGTACAGTTGTACTCGTGAATGAGATTCAATCAATGAATGATTTGATTTTTCTATTCAAATTTGATACCGAGGCAGAAAAGACTTTTTACCTCAGTGATTACCTCGGTCTTTTTATTTTCATGTTTGTCTAGCCAACTTCATTAATTCATTCGAGCGTCTAATAATTAGGGTTTTCTGGGAATCGTTGAAATCCACTTTCTGTTTTCTAACTTCCCAACCGTTGTATTTGAACAAATGGATCGTGATTTGAATGGCTTAACATAACTGTTAATGTCGTTGGCTAAACAGTAGCTATACAACCAGCATTTGCAGCTTTAACTAGCATCCACGGTCTCTTTGATCGTTTGACAACATTCAATCAGTAATTGTACGATATACATTTTTCGTGGCAAATGCCATCACCTCATATCCTCGACTAAGTTTGCACGAGCAACTACCAAAACCCACACTATAACCTTCGTCATCCAGCTCACTAGTAGAGACGAGATTCGACGTAATATTGTGCAAACTTACCAAAGTCGATCCTATGATAAGCTCTTTAATACTACCCTTCGTATAAATCTTCTTGGCTATAGATTTATCACACATCTTTGAAAACTTTAGAGCATTGTTAATTGGTAAAACAAGCCAAGTGTCACGGTTATGTTTGTCTAAGTCGTGTTGCCTATGACCGCATGTCGTATGTCCCGATCATGCTTGTCCATGACCGTGTGCTCGTTCCAAACCCCTTTTACATGCTTTCATCTTAAATAGACATTTACTATTTCATGTTGTGTCAATACGGGGATGTATGACCGGTCACCAAAATCATGTCTACACCCGCGCAAGGCTAAAATGTCCCAAAATATACTATATGGGAATGTGATTAGTGGTGAATTCTTCCTACCCGGAATTATATGCTATCAGGGCTGTTGTTGTCGTCTATTCGTTTTTAGCTTGTAACACTACTTTCTTTACAACGTGACCTGAGGCTCGAACATAAATTGATATTGTATACGAAGTTTGAATTTCACACGGCTGACTTGTTCGTTGCGTTAGAACAAGTGTCGCACAATTATTATCCTACTGCCCCAAAATGTGTGATTAGAGATTATATAAATATATTGTTTTGAAAAATCATTTTCTACGTTAAAACAACAACAAAAAAAAAATACTTAAAGCCCTACGTTCACCCTCCATCTGCTGCAACCTCACGCCGCCACGCCAACCGTCGTCGAATGTTCTTTCTTTTCTCGGTTGCTTGGGTTAATTTTTGGATTCAGCTAGGTTTTAATTTGAGATCGTTCCAAATCCGTCCTATTTTCGACGCAAATTTTGAAATTCTACCACGTAGAGGCCCTGAACTGCACCGCGATCTCTCTCGAAAGTGAGGTATTTTCCAAGAAGTTCACATTTCAATCGATTGCAAGCCGTCGTCAGTCTCTGTTTCAGCTACCAGCTGATATTTTGCAGGTACCAAAGAAAACGCAAGTTTGTTTTGTCGGCTATTCGCATTTCAGAGGTTCATGTTCTCTGTATTGGCTTTGATTGATTGAAGAATGTTCATGTTGGAGGGAAAAACTCCACTGTTTTTCATATTGCGTCAAATATTCAATTACGTGATGTTTTTTTTTTTATTGCTATAGGCCTGGGGTTAGGTTCATCGATGTTTGAGGCATTTGGTAGCTAGGAGTAATTTGGTACATTAGAAGAATGGTATTTTACTGAACATAGTAACTTGTTACTTGCTGATGTTGTTGTAATAGCAGGAATTATTATGTCGCTTTTTAAACTTTCAAGAACTGGAGTTCGGATGATAAAAGAGCTCTTCATAGGTATGCTGTTCTCCTTCATTTTTAAGTACTTGTATATTATTGGTTTTGTTAGTGGACATCAATTTGGAAGACATGTATAGATGGTGTTCTAAGTCGTCAGTATTTGGGTCTTTCGACCTTCTGATCGGTCCTTTTCCAAGTTTATGCGTCCTTTCAGTAGCTTTGGTGGGTAGCCTAAGATTGAATATGGAGACTGGTGTGTGCGTTTCTAGGATGAAATCAAGTTCATTAACCATATAGGGAGACAAAGTTTAAGGATAAAGCATTCTTCTGAAGACCAATCATTGATTCTTCTTGACATATAATAGACGACCGCAAACTCCTTGAAGATGACTTTCCGGCCTTTAGTAGCAAACGAACAATGATGAAAGAGATGAAGCAACCAAGAACTTGCGATTTTTTGGAGGAGCTTCATATCTTCTTGTCTCATCTTTAAATACCATTGTCTATGCTTTGTATTAGTGCTTCTTAGCATTAATCGTACCTCTTTGTTCCTTTGGACATTTTTTTGACATGCTTATTTGTTTCTTTTCTCTTGGGTCAAAGTTCTTGTAATATGCGATGTAGCCTTTGTCATTTCTGATTACATTTGTTCCTTTTTTTCTCCAACAGGGCAGTTTTTACTCGTGACTAAAGCAAGTCACATTCGGGGGCCTTTTTTTGAATACTTGCGACCTCTGGTTAGTTAACAATTCTAGGATTGATATAAGATGCTCCTTCTGTCTTTTAGTTTAATATTCAAACTATTGTAGTTGCTCAAGTTCACAATAGATAGCTGGGTCTGAATTAAGTATTAGCTACATTAGTTCATGGTCAAATAGACATAACTTTTGGGAAAATAATATTTTCTTAATTACCAACCTAAGCGAGGACCCATTTTTCTTTTTTCAGCCACAGTCACAAGTTCAGATGTTTCAAGGTTTTAAATGGCGGGAACAACGTCTGTATTCTACCTCAGGTCCTCAGGATGGCTGCAATAAAGAGAATGACCCAAAAGAAACGTAAGTTCTTTTAGCCTTTTAACTTTACATGCATACTAGAAGACTTCGATTGCATCAATCGCTATCACTGACTGATTAAACAATATGTAGGTGTACTGTGCATGGTACAAGCATAATTCATGGGGCTTTGAAGCATCAATATCTGTTCAAGTTTTTTGCCTTTAGATTGATAAATAAATTTTTTGGGATTGAATCATAGTTTTCATTGATGAATGAAATATACAAATGGGGAGGATGATCCTTCCTGCCACCAATGTAGTTAGTTAGATAATAACCCAGTTGATACACCTCTTATTACTGATATAGTGTTGATCATGGAGTGTCGCTGGATATATTTAAATTTTAGATTTGCGGAAATGTATTTTTGGCTATTCCGAACCATCTTTTAGATTTTTATTGTAATGGCATTTGCATTTCTTAGTTCTTTTTCGAGGGCCAGTGTGGATGCTTGCGTATAACCAATGTCAAGCTGAAAACAATCCTCTTCGCTCGTAAAAATTGTGTTACCACTTGTTTGGACTTTAATAATATAGTGTACTGACATCTCAAGTAAAAATATCATTCAAAAAGCTTCTACTTTATGGTCTGCATTTGGATTATTCTGTTGATTCTTCTCTACCAGAAACTGTGATTAGCAGGATATCTGTCACATTTGTCCTTAAGGATGGAGAAGAGAAACAAATTCAAGTTCCCATTGGAATGTCCATGTTAGAAGCTGCTCATCTAAATGACATAGAACTTGAAGGTAAGGAGCTTGATTCCCCCCTCTTCCTTTAGCACTATCCTCCATTTTCTCATGATTTAAGCATCGATTTTACGTAGTTTAACATAGTAGATAGATTATTGCATGCTGGTTCTTGAGTTTCTGTTTCTTCACTAACACTGTTTTATCTCCCAAACCAGGAGCATGTGAAGGTTCATTAGCTTGTTCAACTTGTCATGTTATTGTGATGGTAAGCTTTCTCTCTCTATTATTATTTTTTTCGCTGGGGGGGGGGGGGG